TTTTTTTGATACACGCTCACTTTCAATGTAAAACGAAAAATATATCTTTATATCTCAAGTATTACAGGTATAACTGACTTAATACTATTTTACAATAGTTTGTATATATACACACATACATATATACATATACACGTGCAGATCGAGTCGAAAGAAAAAGAAAAAATAAAAAACGATTTCTATTTAATTACTAAAAGACCAATATCAAATGCCGATTGCAGCGTTTTATCACTTTAAAATCCATCTCATTAATTTGATGAAGTAGTCCTGCAATTTTACAATTACAAAACATTGATAGAAAGTTGAATCAAGGTAAATTTAGTTCGTAACGAATTGTGTGAAAAGCATTATGTCGATGATAACCACAAATATTGTAAATAATAAAAATTAATGGATCAATTCGATTTCCAGTACGAATTGTTTCAAAAATCTAATTATGTCGAGTTTAGAGAGGCAAAAATATGATTACTCAATAAGGCTGCAAATCTAACAAAAAACTAAAAACATGTAAATATTTTGAATGCCAATTTATTCTCATGACCCCATAAGTTGGATATGATCAACTAGAAACGACCGGCAAATTATGTTTTTGAAAATTCAAAGTTTATGAATGCTCAAAGCTTTTGTCGAAATGAAGATTATAATTAAGCATTATATTTTTGCTACGATAAACTCTAGCTCTAGCTATATAAAGGAGTTACAAATCATTAGTGGGATAAACAAATGTGAATTTCCTGATTTACAGCCTTGTGATAAGCACAAAGAAAGAAATTGGTTCATTAGTGCGATGTAGTATATTTGTATGTGATTTAGTTTATAAAAGTGGTAGATCTAATATATTTCAGGTGTAATTGTTGAGTATAGTGTGTGTGTCAGAAACTATTTTCTAAAAACCACAACTAAGAATGTGAATAAGTTTTCGAATATAATATTTATATGAAATATTTTATACCGATTCCGACCTGGAAAACAGTGTCCTTCAAGTCCTAAACTTGTCTTAATGATTACAAAACCATTTCAGTGTAGTTTTATTAGTTTCTTTCTCAAAACAAGTTAAAATACTTACTAGCTAACTAACATGGAATACATTTAATTTTTAGTATGCAATATATGTGTATATTTATTTTATACCAACGCGGACCTATCTCTACTTAAATAAATAGAAAACACATCCAAATCATTTATAGCTAGAATATATTAGTTATTAAGAGCCAATTGATTACTCGTGTTTCCTTTTTTTTTAATACTTTGGGAACAACTGCAACTGAATTACGTTTCTTACATTAATTTTTACTTTTCACCTATACATCAAATTAACAAAAGCCAAATAAGTAAGAGCGATCTAGTCGGGAGAGCACGACTAGTAGATACCATGAACCCAGCGAAAAACTGTTGACCGAAATATAATTTGTATTTGTAGTTTTCAATATAATAGCACCTATGCGATCGAGCAATCGGACATGGCTGTGAGATTAAAATTGATTTTGGTCAGGGCAACGCATTCTTTTGAATATAATTTTCATCGAAGTGGGTTTAGGGTATACAAAGAAAATGAAATATTTACGTTTTTATTTCGCCAAGCTCTATCTTCAATTAACAAACGGTTTACTTTTTAATATTTATAGAGCAGTTATAAAGACTATCTTTTCTTTATCTGGAAACAAACTATAAAGTCGATAACCCAGTAATCGCAAACCTAATTTAGTTKTTAATATAATAATAATACTTAAGCACACAATATACGACTTATGAGTATAAACGTTTAATATATTGTCAGTATATTATCGGTTAAATGCCTCTACACATACAATATAGTTTCAATATTATAGAGAACGATTCGATTCTACCTAAAATTGTTATACATTTGTGGATTTGCAACTTGTAGAGAGAGAGAGAATATCTATGATGGGGTCAACAGATAGAACTTACGACAATAAAGAGCACGACAGCGCCAATAAAATGATTGAATAGCTCGCCAACAGCCCTCAAAATTCAATAGAATCAAGAATCAAGTCAAATATTTTTTGTAATTAAATAGTTTTCAACTTTCGAACTTTAAACATTGTTTTTATATTCATCTTGAATATAATATGTTATATATAGGTGATGTATATGTATATGTAATTTGTATAAATCTTAAGCAAGCCTCTTTCATTTGGTTTTCGTATGTGTCGGTTGTAAATGAAGTGTGGGTGGCTTCAAGTGGTGTGGCCCATAAAAGGAGTATATGTATGCTTGAAACTTACCTTTTTGGCAGGAGGAGCTGGAACTTCCAAGTGATATTTACTTTGACAATAGTCGCGCAGTAAGGCAATGCCTTCCGTACGATTATTGGCATAACGTGACTCCCAAGCATCCAATAGACGATTATAATAGCGTGGAGTGTCATTGTATTTAAGATATTTATAGGTTTGATCTGTCGGAAAGATGCGTTCGAGTGGTGTGCATCGTGCCAATTCGTCCTCCGCTATAATTAGGCAGCGTACGTCATCGGGAGTCAACTTTTCGAGAATCGCATCGATGTACTTAAAACACACAAAACTATATTTACTAAAAATGGATAGATCATTAAAATTTTTCGTGTTATACCTCTTCGCGATTCTCCATGCTTTTCCGTGTAAAAGTGTTGTGCTTGTTTTTCTCTTCACGCGACAGATAGTTAATGTACATACGTTTATCGTAGCACATTTGTGTGCCAGCTGGGAAACTAAATTCAGCGGCTAATTCTCTTTGCTTTTCCTGGCTCAGTTTTGGTGGTATCTGCGTGTATATGGAGTATGTGATTTATATATCTATATATGGTCTATGATATTTGGTTTGCCAGCTTACATTGTAGAGGGCAGTGTTGAGTACGCCTTGGACTAGTGGCGCCTTAACGTGGGCATCCAGAGGTAATTCCGAATGTAAACTAGGTGAGATATTCACCTCAAGTAGCCAAGGTACCAGATCCGAATCTAATATTACATCAAAGCCAAACAGTTCGAAGCAACTGTATTTGGACTCAACATTTGCTCTTATCATGCTGTTAATGCCATTCTCTCCAGCAAGAATGGTGCGCAGCACCAGACTCCTTAAGGCTTCCCAGAGGCCATCGGTGCAAACCCCACGATTAGCCAAATATGTCCACAACGACTTAATGGTCCACTTGTGGCCATGACACGCATTCACATCCTCATTCTTGGAGTAATTCGACGAAAATTTGTTGATGCTATAATTGGTTAAATGCATGCAGCGATCATTTAACGTATCCGCCTTGGCACTATATTTAACTGCGATTTGGACGGCATTAAATATGATATATAGGAATAAATTGAAAACATCTTACCAGAAGCAAAACGTGCCAAACCATTGTGATACATAAAGACTCTCAGCGGATTGACAGAGGTTACGAGAACGTAAAGGCGCAAGTCGAATTTGCTGCCATTAATAAGTAGGGGACGTTCGATGTATCTAGTGATAAAATAAATTATTGAATATTTACAGAGCCATATGTATTAAATTTATTGTTCACCCACTTCTGCACAATGAGAGGTCGTCGCTTGGGTATTTGACCCCAACGATACACCACACGAATGCCGGCACCACGTGCACTTGCCGGTGGCTTTATAATCCACTTTGTGTTACGTTGGGCATATTTTGGCCAACGCTTACGCAGCGCGCAAAGATCGTTGGGTATGACATAGGTGCGTGGCATAAAGCCAAACTCCCTGTTGCTATGTTTTCTCATCTGCCTCTGCAAGTTCTTCCAGCAGGAGTCCTTACGCCCAATGCGAAAGGAGCCAGGTAAGTGATTTATTTTCTGATACGAGCGAATCGTTTTGAAGCAGGGCGACTTCAAATGCTTGCCCCACACACCCATCCAGTCGTTCGTTTCTATGATAGATAGAAATGTTCAGCTCAAACTTAATAATTTCAATTCACAGCTTCAGTTATTTACTTTTCAGCATGCGCATGCCACTGTTTGCCAAGATGAGCCGAACGACTTTTGGCATTATGCTTGTCACCCGCCATTTTAAGATCCTGTGCAGCTCTGGCGGGACATTGGGTCCTTTTTTGGTGTTCGACGAAAATGATAGATAGGGCGGCACATATGGAAAGAGACTGGAGACTAGGACGGACTCTGGATTGCAAAGGTCATCGTCGGAAGACCGAGAAAAAACCAGAGTCGAAGAGTCTTTGGGTGAGGATAATAGGCGATCGCTCGAGTGCGTCAGCTTATACGCATGCGCCCTATAACCATCTTCCGTATCAGAGCTTATGCTCACTGTGTCGCTATCATCGAAATTCGAGACTGAAATCGAATTTAAGCACAATTAGATCGAATTCGCAGGTGAATAGCTAATGCAACTTACTGTTATCTAAATCATCATCGTTATCGAAATCAGCATCGCGAAAGTCGCGGTTCTTCTCTGGCTCTGGCTCCTCCAGTATATAGTTCGTGACATGATCGGCGCCTGCAGTTTGACCTTTGGGTTGAGGGTTGGGTTGAGGCTTTACGTTTTGGCTGCGTAAATTAGACGACGGATGATGCTTACGTGCCGAGCGTGGGCTTTGACTATTGTACAAGAGGACGCGATGGACAGTGGGCAGCACCTTCTTAGCAGCTGCTTGTCCGCCTCGACCTCTCTTGGGCGTCAGCGGCAGACGGGGCAACGGCAGCGGCTCATTGGCTTTGAGTGTTTTCTTTGCTAAATTGCTTTTAATTGTCACGGACTCACCCGTATTACTTATTTCGTGTATATCGCCCAGTTTGACGCATCGGCGCGAAGTTGGTATACTTTCATTGAGATACTGTTCATCGCAGAGAGGCGTTGACTCGTAGATATCTTTAGCATTAACTATTTTAATTGCAGATTTCTCCATTCCATCGATGGGGAAGTCTATCCAATCACTATCATTGTAGCCAAATGGCAGCTCATTGTTCTCCTTCAGTAAATAACTATCGTATTCTATATTTTGATTATTATCATTATGGGCTCCGGACCTTCTCGATGAGCGTTTACCCGTTGTCTCCTGTACTAAGCTCATTGGTGTTTGATACGAACGTATCGTATTTGTTTTTGATTTGTGCAACTTCTCTGGGCCACGATTGTAAAAATACGAAAAATAATGCTCGTAGTGCTGATCTGCTGACTGAAAGCGTTGACGATCAGAGCTAGCAAGAAAAAAAGATTCATTATTTTAAGTAAAAATTACTGTAAATGCAACAAATAAAATGCAATTTAAAAGGTTGGCGGTATGCGTGTGTGTGTAAAAATCATAAATTACATCTAATATATTAATAAAATATACATATACATATATATATGTGTATATATCAGCAAAGGTGTGGCTAGTGTGTGTCTACAATAAAAAACTAAATAAATAAATATATAAGGATATGCAAGCATTGGGTTTTAGGATTGTCTTTGTAGAATTACATTATATTATCCCAGTTTAGGTCTGCGGCCGCAGATCTATGGCTGTGGGAGTACGTCGAATCGTCATCCAAATATTCGCAGGTACTTCGGGACGTTAGCTGCCTCTTGAGTTGATCCTTTTCAAGGGATGCCTGTGTATAGCGTGCCAATTCGTGATTGTTGGGCGCGCTATTACTGTGCCCATATCCATGTCGCGCCTTTTGCTGGACGGGTGCCTTATAATACTCTGCGGGCTGTTGACGTAGCGGCTGGTAGGCGTGGCTATTGTTGTTGGCCGCCGACGTTGTCGTCGTCTTGCGAGGTGCAAACGAATTGGGGTATGCATTGGAATACGGTCCTTGTTCCGTTACAGGTACTGCATAGTAGGATTTATTTATTTGTCTTGACACTTTCGTAGYTTTCGCTGGACTACGGTTGGATGCACGGATGGGGCTCTTTAAATTCCAGATCGGACTACTTACACTCCCGTTCTTAAAGTATGTAAATGCATTGTCATTATTGCAATGTCTCAAATTGTGCTCATTGTTGATAATTCCGTTGCTATTGTTGTTGTTGTGATTGCGGTTGTTACTGCTATTAATTCCGTTGTCATTCAAATATTGATTGGACTGGTGCATCTCGGGCGATTTTCCATAAACTTCTGAAGCTTTATACATGAACATACTATTTATGTCTTAATCAAGCTACAGCAAAACACGTATAAATATACAGACACGCACACAGACTCACACACACACACAAGAACGCACCTGAATAAGGAGAGGTGAGAGGCAGAGCCAAAGAGAAGAAAGAAAGGGCGAAATAGAGAGAAGTGCACAAAAGTTGTAATATCTGATAACAAGTAAATATTTATATATAAGCCACGCTATCATATATACGGTTCCAAAAATAATTTAAAGTATATATAAACACTTATATCATATACCTAAATTCTAATTTGTTGATATTGAGTTCAATCAGTAATCAAGAACTATTCGAAATAGAATTGAATTAGATATAGTATAGCGCTGTCATACGAAGAAATTAATTAAACTAATTTGAAAATAACTAAATATTGTCTACGAAAACTCTTCAAACCCTCCTCGTAATGCCCTGGCATGTCTTCAGTTTTATGTATTGAAATTCTAAAATATAAATATTGTAATTGGCTTCCGAATCCTTCAAAATATGTGGAACAAAACAATTTTCCATTTTTTCAATTTATTTTATATAAATGTATATATTTAAAAATTTTCCCGTCAATTCAAGTATTTCAGTACTACAATTTAAATTAATTTTATAAACTCCCCTCGCACAGTTATGGTACAGCCTCAACTAATGTAAACGGAACTGATTTATTTATTATTACTCAATATAAACACACGTCGAAATGCAGAAGTCCGATTATACACAATATTTTAAAACTTTAACTTACCGCTTTCAAATTCTGCTGACCTTCACGTCTTTTTTTATCGCTTTATGGTTTGTGCTACTTATTGCAAATAGGTATCAGCTGGTTGTATAGGGGGTTGTTGAATTTAGGTCACAAACATGTCCTCAGACAAGGTGTTGTAACTCCTTTGCACACTATGTTGCTGCGGGTCTCTTTTATAGGGGAAATCACTAAATTTCCAATAGCAAATAAATCGTTGGGACTTGGATGATAAGTCTAAATCTCAACGTTGTACAAAAGGAATGCTTTTTAAGAATTTTTATTTATTTTTTATTTTTTAAGTTGTTGAATGCCGAACAAACGCACAATAACTGTTTTTAACCGCTGTTTAAAACTTTATTCCTTGTTGCCAAATAGAAGTAAATTTGTTAAATTTGTATACGTAGGTGCTTAACTATGTGTGTATTAAACGTGCCTTATAACTATGAAATATTGTATTTTAATTTTGATGTAAATATCAATTGTAGATAGAGCAAACAAAACAAAACACACTCAAAACCTGCTGCAACCTCAACACGTGTAGTTCAGTTGTGAACTATAAATGTGGTTCTTTGCTCCGAACAACGTATACATAGCAAGAAAGAACAAGAATAGTTCACTGCTGTTAATTTAACATATTATTAGCAGCGAGCCCGTTTGATTTTCACCACATATGTATGTATGTAAAATGATTTTTTTTTTTTATTATTATTGTTATTTTATATATTGCTAATTTTTAATAATGAAAATTCAAATTTTCTTTTATGAAAAACGTTATATTAAGTCTAATTGCTTACAACTGTATTTGAATTGAAGACCCTACATTATATTAAATTAATCATCCTTACACTATGCATATAATACATTTTAGTTGCTAGAAAAATGGGTTTTAATAAATTCGTTTCGATTGCGTTGCTCCTCGCTTATAGTAGCACCGTTGGCATAACAAAAAATGTTAGGTTTGTATATGGGTAGAGAAATGTCAGAATCTAAAAAAAAAAAACGAAATTATTTTTAAATTATTGCACAACTTAAACTGTGATTTAATGGAAATACCTATGGAAGGATCATTCCACTCCATTGCCATATTATGAAGTAGTGCCAAAGCGGTTATTGTATGCTTTGCTGAGCCAAATGTCCCCAAGAGTTCACTACTGAGAATTCCGAAGCGGCGTATCCAATAGTTTAGACACTTGACTGCCGGCGCATAGGTTGCAGAATGGGCTTGATTATAGAGATCCTCGGATTTATTTTTAGGGTTTCGAACTGGTGTAAAGAGGAAGTGGGAGCAAGAGAGCGATTCATTTCCAAGCAGTATGCGACCACGAAATTCATTTTGCTCAAATCGTTCCTTGATCCGTGATAACGAAAACAATTCCGGCGCTGTGTTGTGACCTAGTTCCTCAGGGAGACGTATATCCAAATCCCTAATCTTATGCTCGGCATCTGCCACCAGCTGCAAATGAACAAGTTCCTCATTTGTAGCAGCTAGCTCGGTTCCACCATAGCTACCCCTATTTTCCAACTGTAACCGCACAGTGGTTTGCACTACTGCGCCAATTACTTGGGGCATATTGGAGAGGTATTGAAATGAACGCATCATTCGTTCCTTTTCGGACAGGGTTGCGGGCATCCGGATATAACGCGACGCTTTTGATGATAACACGGCAGCCACACGACGTGTTATCTTGGCCATTGTATGCAAGCTAACACCATGGGCCATAGCCGTAAGCTGTGGATGCTGGAATAGAGACGAATCTAGATATGTATTTATTTACATATGTATGTATGTATATATGYATGTACCTCAGTGCCGCCGAAAAATCGAATGGCCGACAAAATTTGCAAGTCTATTGGGACTTGATCTCTTTTCATTGGTTCATAATAGTCAACTTCTAAGTCATCTCGAACGATTTCTATAATCCGTCTCATATTTTCTTTTGTGTATCGGTATTTTTTTCTAAATTCTATTTCGTTCATTTCTTCCATTGGGTTAAAACGCGGACGTCTGGGTTTTACTTTACATATTTGTCTTCTTTTATTTCTATTGATTCTACTGTGATCCAAATGTTTAAAGTATTCAAAATCCTTTAAATGCCTTACATCTTTGAGAAAACGTTGAAATATTTTAATATCATCCATTTTAGATGGAGGTTAATTTGTTTGTTGATTTTCACTATTTTCTTCTTTTTGCGCTTTTTCTTAATTTGGAAGAAGAAGAATTATGTTGAGTATCTGTAAACATAACATGTTGAAACCATGTTATTAACAGGAACAAACCAATCCCTAAACTATGAAAAACTGTTATTGTTTCCGAAATTTATGAATTTAAATTTATTAAAAATAAATTTACATATCTATGCAACTACTATTAATTATTAATTTTAAGGCAAAATAATTGATGGTCTTATCATTGCTCACGATTGAGTGATAGTAGGTTATGCCGTCATTATTTCAGAAAATGCTGGGCGCGTGTTTGAATTTGTGTGAGAATCAAGCAATTTTGACATGAATGTGTAGGTAAATTCGCATAAATAAACAATACTGTTGGCGAAAACCCAGGTAACTATGTTCATCAACCATTCCTGCTGGCATATTGGCATTGGCATTGCAGCTTTCGAGAGGCCTCTCAGTTCATTCCATTATATATTTAGTTTCTTTTTGTATGGTAATAAAATTAGTGAATGACCATTTTTAAGCTATTTACTATTGAAAATTGCTTATATATACTTAATTTTGGCTGTTATGGAACACTTGGTGGATTTTTGCTCAGGTGCCCGCCAAGCTTCAGCTAGGATAACAGAGCCCAATCTGAAAATGTGACGTCACAAAACAACTGTTAGTTAACATTAAAAGTAACGGGACTGCTCTTTGCGCAACCACTGACCAGTGGCGCAACCTACTGTGTCTTTTAACAGTGATCATTGCTCATATGTGTAATCGAAAACTTCACGTATCGAAATCGTGCTCCGATGGGTAGGACAATCTTAAAATCGAAGCCAACATTATGATCGATTAGTATTATCAGATTTAGGAATTAAAGCACCAAACCATTCGGATCTCAAGTGTTCTGTCGAAAGGGTCTCGCAATCCTAATATCGTAGTATTTTTGTAATAAAAATAAAATAAAGTCCGCCATGGGTGATCAAGAACGGGGTCGTCGCCGTCCTTTAAATGATTCCGACATTAGTCCTGAATCGGTACAACAGCCGGTAAGTGTTTTTTAAGCTTTAAACTTGCAATATAAACATTATATATATATATACATATGTATGTATTTAAAATGAACAAATTTGAGTGTATACATAAATCGAAAGCAAGCCATATGTATGTATGTATGAATGCAAATACTTTTGTACTAACACACATACAACCACACAAGCGCGATCGCGTCGTCATTACTCGCTCGAAATTCCGTTATCTGCACTCGGACTCAAAAGCATAAAGTTGAGCCACTTGAGTTAAATTTGCTGATGCGACTATTTTACAGTTGTATGTGTGCATACTCGCTTGTGGATAATATTGTAATACGATAATATAGCGTCCTTAAAAAAAAGTATACATCTATACATATACATATGTAATATATATTTTTAAATAGCGGAAAATTAAGAGCTCCGTCAAAACAAGATAATTTTATTTAGAAATTCCATTCCTTTTCTGTAATTTACATTTACATTTAGAACAAATTTCATGATCAATATACTTTGTATCGTACTGTATTTATCCGCTTATACGCTTACTTTCTCAAAATAAAAATGTTTATATTTATAAAAGGTTAAAAAGAGGCGGCACAAGTTTGCGTACACTTCAATTCTGCTGCGTACAATCACTGACCAGTGGTACAATGAGGAAAATCGCAACAACCGTTTGATTTTTACTCTCCTTTATACTTGTACGTTGTTCTACGGACATATTCAATTCATATAAAATCAAACGCGTGGTGTACTCTGGAATAAAGACAATTGAAGTAAAAAGAGTTTTATAACGAAATAATGACAACAAATTTGAGCATAAAAAGGCGCTGCTAGAAATATATATACAGTAGAATCCGGTTATAACGACTCCGCTTAAAGCGTCCAACCGGTTATGTCGACGAAAATTCGATGTCTTGGTTGGTCCTCATACAAACTTATATGAAAGAGCCTCCGCTTAGTACGTCTCCGCTTTTAACGACAATCCGCTTATGCCGACGATTTTTTTTTCATATTTTTGAGTTAATTACCGGTTATTACGACGTGATAAAAAAAAAATTGCGAAATAATGACAACAAATTTCAGCATAAAAACACTGTAAGAAATGTATACATACATGTATGTATTGATCAGTGCTTGCTTATGTGCGTAGCAACGCCACAAATATTGCTAAGACAGAGAGAGGGACGGAAACAAAGTACAATGCCGACGTCACAAAAATGTTTCTAAACCATGTTATTGAAATAAGTTTATAAAAAATGGTTGTTTTGATTAAAAGTTGAAATTGTTTTTTAGTAAAAGCTATTACGAACATGGCAACCGTAAACAATATGAAAAAAAATATATATATATTTTTTACTCTTTCTGGTTAAAGAAATCGTCGGTCCCTTGAGTGCTATAACCGGACATATAACATTTGTAGTTTTGAGTGTGCTTCGTCGTTAATTTTGAAACCAACGATTTTTTATATCACAAATTATCGAAACTTATCGAAACGTTCACCTATCGCATGAAAAAGCCAAAGCTGCCAGACTGGGCACAAAAAGCATTAACTTCATTTAATCAATTTAACCGTAATTTTAAATAAGAAGAAATAATTAAACTGTAACTGTAATAATAGTTGTGTAATAATGTGGGACTATTTGAATTAATAAGTATTTCTCAATAATGACATTTTAAAACAGCGCCCTAAGATATTTCGTGGGGATGGTTTTAAATCACATGATAGAGATAGATCAGAGGCTTCGTCCTCGCGTGGGACTTCTAGGTCCCATGCACCCTCAACATCTCATGCAGCATCGACATCCTACGCAGCTAGCGCATCCCGTGGCTCTCGTGATCCGGTCGGACCTACATCATCTCACCCTAGTGGACCTGGCGGACACAAATCCGATCGGAGACCCATTGATCGTTTTGAAATTGTTAATACAAGACCAGCCGATGTGGTCACAAAACAAGGCTCAGATGGCAAGCAAATTAAGTTGCTATCAAACTATTTTCGTTTGAATACGAAGCCACAATGGCGCATTGTCCACTATCATGTGGATTTTGCTCCAGAGATCGAGTTAGTGCGTGTACGCTGCGGCGTACTATCGGAACATGCAAAAAGCTTTGGTACAGGCTACCTATTTGATGGCAATCAGCTCTTTACCACCAAGAAATTCGACGAAGATGTTACTGTGCTGCAGGCCACTTCAAAGCAGGGTGTCAATTACACAATTACTATCAAGTGCGTGGGTTATATATCGACGGCTGAGCCACGATTTCTACAAGTTTTAAATTTGATATTGCGTCGCTCAATGAAGGGTCTCAATTTGGAGCAAGTCGGACGTAATCTCTTTGATCCCCATG